CTCCCCCCGCCGCCGCCTCCGGCGACCGAACCATTTCGTCTCCGCCGGAGAAACCCGCCGGCGGATGGAGAACCATCAAATACATCATCGGTAATTAATAATCGATCCTGCTATTTTATTAACAACTAATGAACATCTGGATCTTTGATTTGGAATGATGACATATTTAAAGATGTTTTGGATAAATTTAATTGATTAGGCAACGAGACGTTTGAGAAGTTGGCGTACATGAGTTTGATCGCAAACATGACGGTTTATCTGAAGACGAATTACAATTTGGGAGGTGTGGTTCTGCTAAACATCGTCGGAGTCTGGTCGGGATCCTCGAACGTGACGGCCATTCTCGGCGCTTTGGTCGCCGACACGTTCCTCGGGAGGTTCCATACTCTCCTCTTCGGCTCTTTCTTGTCTCTCATCGTAAGTCCCTGAATCCTTATATCGCGATTTCTATCTTACATTACAAGAGACATTTCAGTGATTTCATGGAGTAATGATCGATCGTTTTTTTTTTGTTTCCCAAAAGGGCATGACGCTCATGACTTTAACCGCGGGATTACCGAATCTCCGGCCGCCGGCGTGTTCCTCTCCGCCGGAGTGCTCTCAGCCTGACATGTGGCAGTTCACATTCCTCGGCATTGCCCTAACCTTCACGGCTCTCGGAGCCGGCGGGATCAGGGCCTGCAACATCGCGTTCGGAGCCGACCAATTCGACACCAACACTGAAAAAGGCAGATCTCAGCTCGAGAGTTTCTTCAACTGGTGGTACTTCTCCTTCACCATCGCTCTTGTCTTCGCACTCACTGTCGTTGTCTACGTCCAGACCAATGTCAGTTGGACCCTAGGATTCGCCATCCCCACTGCTTGTTTCGCTGTCGGAATCGTGACCTACCTCTTCGGATACCGTGCTTACGTGCTCGTCAAGCCACAGGGAAGCGTCTTCCTCGACATCCCCAAAGTCCTGGTCGCTGTCCTAAGGAAACGCGAGCTAGACCGGTCTAAACCGTCTACGTTCTACGACCCTTCAGTCACAGGGACCATCGTGAAACTGCCTTACACGGACCGGCTCACGTTCTTCGACAGAGCGGCCTTGATAACGAGCCCTGACGAGTTAGACGACCAAGGCGTGGCCAAGAACAACTGGAAACTCTGCAGTGTTCAACAGGTTGAATCGTTCAAAATGCTCGTGGGGATGTTCCCGGTTTGGTTCTCGGGAATCTTGTTCATAATGTCGATGGATCAACAGAACAATATCGGAATCTTGCAAGCGATTCAGACAAACAACAACGTTGTCGGGACGTTTCGTGTTCCCCCTGCGTGGATGGGACTCTCCTCCATGATCGCTCTCTCCATATGGATTGTGCTCTATGAACGTCTCTGGGTACCACAATCCAAGAAATTCACAGGAAAGAGCAAGAGGCTGAAGATGAAGAACAGATTCGTGGTCGGAATCGTGTTCTCCATCATCTGCCCTCTCGTCGCGGCCGCCGTCGAAATCCACCGCCGGGAGCTTGCCATAAGAAGCGGAGGCTCGTTCCAATCTCCGATGACGATACTATGGCTTTTGCCGCAATTCGCGTTGTCGGGGTTCATCGAAGCCTTCGGGGCGGTGGCTCTGATGGAGTTTCTGACGACGGAGTTACCGGAGAGCATGAGAACTGTGTCGGGAGCGATTTTCTTCCTGAGTCTGTCGATGGCGAGTTACGCGAACTCGGTTCTGGTCAACATCGTTCACGAGTCAACGGATGGGAAAGGCTCGGTTGCGTGGCTGGGAAGTCAAGATCTGAACAGGAACAGGTTGGAGAACTTCTACTATCTCTCCGCAGCCATCGGAGCTGCGAATCTGTTGTACTTTTGTCTCTTCGCTCGCAGGTTTGTGACGAGAAATGGCGGCGGAAACTCGCCGGTTTGAACGTCTCAGGCAAACACTGTATCATTGGAACCATTTTTTGTATTAAAATTGTATGCCACTTAGTTTATACATATATATTCTTTTCATCTCTTATTCATCTCTAATCAGATTAACTTTATTATAACGAATTTAAATATCATGGTTAGTAATTATTAGGTGAAATTATACCATGTACGTTGCTAATGTTACATGTATTGCACAGTGGGCAAAGAAACTTGAAAAGACTCGTAAAATTAAGGGACCAAATGGAATTCATAAAGCTAGTTATATTTGAATGCCAACGGTCCATGTGGAACATTACGTACCATTTCCACCCCCAGTCAAACACCACATGGCAATTAAAAAAAAAAAAAAAAAAAAAAAAAAAAATTGGTTTTATGGGCTCGTCCACGGATTTTGTGGGGAAAATGGAAATGCTGCAACATTGTCTTTTTTCAATGTAATGCGAGTAGAAACGTTGCGATCTTTTGCATTGGATGTTGAAAAATTACGTACATGCAGAAGAACAAATTTAATGAATGTTATCACCCTTTATTAGGGATAAACAGCATAAACCCTATTTATAACCCTCCATCATATCAAACGTTAGTGTGTGTGTGTGTGTGTGTATATATATATGTATATGAAGCAGTGGTGGATGATCATGATTGAGCATATATGTATGTATTGCAAGGAGGAGGTAATCCGCCTCCCGAGGATCAAAAGCTATACGTACACATATACAGTGGCGAATACGAGTATACACATGCGTGAAGCTTTAAACCTCAGGATGCAGATTACCTGATCCTCACCAATACTTGTGTTTAATATGAAACGATTAGAGAGCAATTGTGTTTCGGCTGCTGCTGAGACGTGGAGTGGGGATGGTGGGAACATATAAGGGCTGGTCGTGAAGAAAACAGTGACAAAGTATCATGCTGATTCCAATGGTTTAATTCTTCTTACAGAACATATATACCAGGAAGAGGACAATATCTTGGTTGTCCATCAACTGTTTTTGGGGGGGGGGGGGGTCATGATATATCTTAGGTTTCGTGATAGAGATCGTATATTGTTGTTAATGGGGGTTTTTCCTTTTGATTCCTTTTTATAAAAAAAGAAAAAGAAAAGAAATATATCACAAAATACATTAAAATAGTACATTTAATTTACTGTTTTCTCTTGTTTGAAATCAAGGATTGATTAGCTATGGTCATTTGAAACATTCGTTGCTTTGAAATTAATCGCCCATGAGTTTCTATCAATGGAAACTCATAATGTGTGTGTGTGTGTATATGCATGTATTTCCATTCAAGACCACAAATCAATAAAATCTGAATAGAAAAATAAATAGGTGTTAATTATATGATTAAAAAATGAAATGGCATAAAAAAAAAGAGAGGCGATGCATAATAAAAGTAGGGCTGCGAGATTCCGATCTTTTTCAAGAGCCAATGATGGGGGCTTCGAACATTAGCTTTCACAGAGACAATCATCTCTTTAGATTTTTGTTTTTTTTTGTTTTGACTGCTTTTCTTTGTGACCAAAAAGACATCTTTCCTTTGATAAATAAAATCATATCGATTTATTTATATATACTATATAGCATGCTAATAAACACAGAAGAGAACATCATCATCATCATCATCATCATCATCATCATCATCATCATCATCATCATCATCATCATCATCATCATCATCATCATCATCATCATCATCATTGTAGTTGTTGTTGTTGCTGCGGCGAAAGGGCACCTTCTTTGGTATCAAACTTTTTGTCCTCCAAAAACGCCGAAGTTAATATATTTTATTTGTTCTGCTCTCTCCCATGGGTTCTTCAAAAGACAAAATCCCTTCTTCACTTCACCATTTGTGGTATGGGGATATCAAAAGTGGCCCATGATCCTTCACAAAAAAAAAAACCGGTTTATAGAATTGAACCGGACTAAATCTGAATAAAATCATTTCTTTCTAATTTTAAAAGTTTATAAGTCGGCAAACGAATTTTGGTATATACCAATTCGGATCCAAAACGAGCGAATTCTATCTATAAAACTTGTTTTGTATTTCTTTCAAAACACCCATTTTAGAATTTCATCACTTGTTATCGATTTTGATAGTTAGATCGGACCATTAAATTCTAAAGGATGGAAAACATTCTTAAGTAATAAAATGTAAATTTGCACCAAGACGAACTTAAACGCGAAATAAATATTATAAATTACAATGATTCATTTCCAAGAGATTTTTTTTTTACCTTGGGTAAAATTTTCTCGGAAAATACCTCATATACACAACAAAGGCAATAATACAAGGCCCATCCCATACACAAACCGACATGACAAAAACATTTTTCCGACATATATTTTCATCCTACAAAGTCATGAAGAAGCTGATTACTACTATCACCACCAACAAAGCCCCTGCTCAATTGACGATTTTGCCCTCCGAACCCCACGCCGCCACCGCCGCTGCCGACATACCCATCTCCGCCGATGCCGAGCCCGAACCGCTGAGCAGCGCTAACCGGAAACGGCTCCGTCAACCCGACACCGTTGGTCTGATGATGGAGCCCTAACGTCAACGACACTCCGTTGGTGCTCAAAACGGGGACGTTTTGAGCGCCGTAAGTAAACCCCAAAGCTTCGTTGCCGGAAAATTCGCCGCCGGGAACGTCGTCGTTTCGGGTTCTCCTGGGCGCTGACGTGTGTTGAGGCCTTTGCGCCGCCGCCGAGGAAGAGGATTTCTGAGTTTGTCGCGTCTCGAGCATGTGTATCTCCTCCACCATTGGCTTCCATAACCTAACTCGTGCGTTTATGAACCAGTTTGATACCTAATTCCGTACCAATACAAATACATTTAAAAAATTGTATATATATATAGTGGCTAATGACAGAAAGAAAAAAGAAAAAAAAACAGGAAGAGAGAAGAGAGATGGGGGACCTGGTTTCTTGATAGACCTGTCTGTTTAGCCAACATGAGTTTGTCCGTATCAGTCGGGTATCTGCAACCACCCAACAAAATCACAATGTCTTTATCCATATAGAATCTACGTATGAACATGTCCAAAACATTTGACAAGTCCCATCTCAATAATACGTCCAAATAACATTCATATCAATGCCCAGAGAGATACGTTCTTGCACTTCCCCACTCAATTATTTCCAAATCTGCTTGTAACTTGACGAATAATAGTATATGGTACACGCGTGACCCTCTGCTGCGTATATTTACGACAATACCCTAATACGTTCGACGTGAAAGGAGGAAGTCACTTACGGGTGCAAGAAGTGGTCGAAGAGCCAAGCCCTGAGGACAGTCACGGCACGTTCAGGAAGACCACGGTGCGGCTTCCACACGGGCGGGTGGTGGTTAGAGAAACCGAGCCTGTGACCCAAATCATTACCGAACCTCAAAGACTCGAACTTTTCAGAGTTCATGACGACATGATCACCTTGTTGTTGTTGCGCCTTGTTTGTGAACTGAAGCTGGTCAGTGATGGCGTTCTTCAGGCACTTGAAATGCTTCGACAACGCCTTTAACGCCAAGCTCGCGAAAGGAGCCGCATTCCCGAGCCCCGCCACGCACTCGAACGATTCTATGACGGCTAGAAGCTGCTCATAGTACTGCTTGTACCGCTTGTACACCTTCAATGTGATAGAAGAGAGTGAGATTGCGAGAACAAGTTGAATGATCATAATGATAACATTATGACAAGTTGTAACATGCTTGTATAAAAATCAGTTGTACATCTTGTCAATGCAAACAACACTAAGCTTTAATTAGATTCATCTAAAAATGTACATCGATCGGTCCAAAACGGTTTGAACTCTACCAAGACAGAATCTTGTACCATTTCAGTAACCGGTAGATACTAACTTGCACCAATTTCCGCATTCTTAGTTAAATAGATTCATCTAAAATTAACATCGATCGGTCCAAACCGTTCATTTCTCCTACTTACCATATGGTTATATGATTTAAAAAAAACATATATTTGTAATGGTGTATATATACTTCTTTCCGTAGGCATAATTTATTAAAAAAAAATATGATATACATCGGAATATAATTAAATTATCCCTTATCTGATAAAAACTTTCAAGTTTCTAACTTTGCAACGAATACTTTAAATATATATTTGGTGCATATATTCCCTTCATAGACCAGCTTTTTCCGCAAAAGAAGAGAATTCTCTTACCGCCACACTAAGTTTATATCCCTCAAAAACAAGAATCTAGTTCACAAAAATAGATCAATAGCCAAGGAAAGCTACATTTAAAGCAATACACATCAGATTCTTACACTATATGGTATATAATGTTTCCACTTTTCTGAAATTATATCTTATGAAGAAAGGGCGGAAAGGGCTTGTATGCAACGATATATCACATATATTTATGTGGGAACTCAATTCATATCTTTTGTCTTTATAATATATATATATATATATATATATATATGCTTAGCGAAAGGATTAATCAATGTCCCACGCCTCGCTTCATGCAAACGGCACAAGCAACGCTTAATTAGAATGTGATACATAGAGCATGATGAGTAAAATAAAATATTCAAAGGGCATATTTTTAATGGCTCGTAAGTTTCAATTTTCCAAGGAAGATCTTTATGAGACATATCAGTAATCACACATAAACTATCTCCAACGTCTAAGGTTTAAATTTTTAACTGCCTCCATGTCTCAGAAGTATGGACCAAAATTCTTGTTACCAACGATCGAATTATATGATTACGGTAACATCCCAACAATTACAATATCATTAACACCCTTTGTTTGTTGGGAGAGTTTTGTATATATACCTCGTCGAGCATGGAGATGAGCTTGGATCTCTTCTTGCTACTCTCTCCTCCACCGGAACTCGCGGCGAGATTATCCACCGTTGGATCAAACATCGGCGATGAATCTTCGTCTTCGATTCTGTCGGAGTAAATCCCACGGCCCACATTGCAAAACTCCTCCAGCAACTGCTGAGCTGGCTTCAAGAACCTCGACCCCTTCAAGATCGAAGCGTAGCCTGTGAACGGCCCGAGTGGGCCCAACGGCCCCGATCCCCTCGACCCGGCGGATCCTCCGCCGCCGGGGACGACAACCTCGTACCCGGTCCCGAACCTGTGGAGATCGTTATTGCTGTTGTTGTTGTCTTGGTCGTGCGCGTGGTGAGAGGCCAAAGATAGGGACAGAGGTTCGGGCTTGAAGACGAGAACGTTTCCACCACTGAAGGCCTGGTCGCAGGCTCTGTCTCCGCCGTGGACGGCGGCGGCGGAAGAAGACGGCGACCCGGCGACGGAGGCTCCGCCGAGAAAGCCCATGAAGTTGCCAAGGGCGTGGGGCTCTCCGGCGGCGGAGGAGAATAAATCGGTGTCGATGAGAGGGAATATTGCGGCGGAGGAAGGAGGAGGGTGAAAGTGGAAGTCGGTGTGATCGAGAGAAGGGTTCTGAGAGTGAGAGAGAATTCGAAGTTTGTCTCGACGGCTCTGTTGTGGGATATGGTAGGGTTCGAAAGCATCCGCCATGGATGCCCAGAGGTTGAAGAAGAAAAAAGATGACTCCTTTAGAGAGAGAAAGTGTAACAGTGAAGGGATATGGTGATGGTGAAACGAGAGGTTACGGCAGAGAGAGAGAGAGAGAGAGAGTTTGCTTGCTTGCTTAGGTTTCTTTTTGAAGCACGATAGAGATACACACGAAATTGCAAACAGAAGATCTCAGTTAAAGACCGGCTGCTTTTCTTTTCTATATATATATATGTTCCATGTTTATCTTTCATTATACTCGCTTACCACGCTTCAAAAACGTAATCTAAAACATACACTCTCAAATGACAGAAAGTAGGCCAAATTTTAGAAGGATCAATACATAGAGATATCTAGAATTGGAGTTTTCAGGATTTTAATTTATTTAATTTTGTCGTAATTAGTATTTCAATGACGTTTCAAGCTATAGGACTTACTTTAAAAATAAAATAAAATAGGTAAATAGGTTATACAGAAATATATAACATATGTATGAATTCACAACACATAATATTCGGTGAATGAGAATAAGTCTTTTGTTAATTGTGAGATGCATCCTCTTGTGCGAAAATTCATTTCCGAATTTTATTTATTTATTTTTGCAATGGACAATCTATACATAAAATGATGATTAAAAAAAATCTTTACTTTTGGCGAGGAGAAAAGAAAAAGGAAAGAAGGGCACGGGGAAACCGGAAGGAGGCGACCGGCTATAGCCGGTAAGACTTTTGTGTACCGTCGATATGTTCTTTGGTTTCAGATGTCACTGTCTCTCCCCTCACAATTCTAGTTTTTGTCGTTTTGTTACATAAGTGGTGCACCTCTCTAAATCCCTAAGAGTTTTCTACTTAATAATTAAGATTTAGGCATCCACGTCTGTAATAATTGTAGTTCTGTTCTCTAAATTATTTACAAATATAATTTTAAACGATGTAACAAGTTATAAATATTATATATAGATTTGGCCCGTGTATTGCAATCCCATGAACGAGTAGGAGTCATAGAGAATACGTTGGTCTAAATCTAATGTATATGATTGTAATTTGCGTTTACTTATTATATTTTCAAAATACAATCGATCATATATATTACAAAATATGTTCAAAAAAAAATTATCGGATCACTAATATTATAATAAAAAATATCAATTTGATTTTATGTAATTTTATTGATATTAGAAGCGTTTGATCCGATACAATGAATAAAACTATAAAAGACATAATGCAAAAAATAGCAAAATCCCTATTTAGTAAATAACCAGACTCGACTGTGCTGTAATTATCGTGTTTCATGCAATCATGAAGAGAAGATGTATATTTGCATGAGGAATATATGTTACGTAAATTTAAAACAAATCGCGGTATTTATAGTGTTTTTACTGTGTAAAAAAGGACCCTTTCCTCTTTTGGGCAGAGGACCACACGATCATTTGAAAAAGATCCAAAGCACTCCATTAAAGGCTCACAGTAAAATTAAAAAAAGGTTAAATTCATTATTATCTATTCGCGTTATAACACCACTCTTTGACGTAACCGATCGAATAATTTGAATTCTATTAAATATAAGAAAAACGCAGATATACCATGACTGAATCCAAAATTCCTCTTAATCTCGGACATCAAAACTCATACCCATATGTATATAACCTTAAAACATCTTATAAAATCAACATTGCTAACTATAATTATTTGCGTGATATTCATTATATCACAAAAAAATCTAGAAATTTATTAATAAATATAACTCATTAATGCATATAATCATATGATATAAATGAAATATCGTGAAAAATGATTTGCATCATTAATGTAAAGTTGGGAGACCACTACGAAATATCAAAGTTATCATCTCACACCAACACAAAAAATTTTAAGTGTTTTATCATCACTCGCACATATCATGGAAAATATTTTCCAAAAGATCACTCATCCTAAAACTATTCCAAAACGAACATGCTTAATTTTGAGATTTTTTCGAGATGATGAACCAAAAAGATAGACACATATGAGTAGCTCAATCAATTACTTTCATTTATTTTTTATTGTGTACTTTCGTATCTACACAGTTTTCGAATCTCTGTCATTCTAATATGTTCGATTTATCTCTATACTCCTATCCAAAAACTTGATCAGGAACTGTCCATTGTCTGTGCCTCTCGCACATGTCATCACTCCCCGCCCTCCTACCCGGACTATCACAATTATTGTGTTGGATTATGGCCGAACAAGTGAGTTTATATATCTCTTTTTTCACTTACGAAAACAAAGTTTAATTATGATCATTTTAGACAAATGGCTTAATTACGGCATTTTTTATACGCAAATGATTAAGTATACGTGTATGTATCTACAGACTGCTGAGGTTTGTGGAAGTTAATTAAATGACCACGGCTAAAAATTAAAATCGATTTTCCGCATTTCAATAGATATAACTTTATCAATATAAACTTAATCTGAAAAAATATATTTTTAAAAATAAATAATATCGTAAACTTAAAATCAAATCCGAATTATGATAAAGATATATGATTATTAAAAAAATGTAATTTCTATAAAATTAAAATCAATAAAGTAAAAAAAAAAATCACCAAATCAGAATATAATCGAAATCCTACGCCGTGCGTACCTTAGATTACAATTTATAAGTACTGATCTTCTAAACTACAGGCATCGGGGGTGCTTAGGAATCGACGTCGTCATGCTAACGTCGTTTAGCTTTTTAAGTAATTAAATTAAATAAAAAAAAATCTGACGTTTGATTTTCTGAACGCAAATCTTTTGCTGAGAAAGACCCACTGGAGTTTGCCGTCAACTGATGTAACGGCGTTTTCTCGTTATTCAAAACTCCGTACATCTCATCATTCATTATATCATCTTCCACTCGCGAGTGAACCTTTTTTTTTTTTTTTTTTGTTAACGGGCGAGTGAACTTATTACAATAGGAGTCATCAACACCAATGTTAATTACACAATAGTTATATAAAATAATTGAATAATTTTATTTGTATCAATTATTCTACATATGATCAATAAGGTTATCTTTTGGTTGGTGACAGGCAATAATACTAAGAAAATGAGTGGGAACGTTATATGTTTTGACATGTCTTACGAAAATTCTAAAATATGAGATTTAATTTAACGGCGAAAAATAAAAGCGACAAAATTTAACCTAGGGGTGGCCATTTCGGGTTTCGGTTCGGTTTTCGGTTCGGTTATTTCGAATTCGATTATTTCGGTTATAAGAAAATCATACCCAAACGGTTATACAGATTTATTTGGTTCGGTTCGGTTCGGTTTTGGTTCGGTTTTTGCATAATAAAATTATAACCAAGCGGTTAAATTTTTCGGTTTATTCGGTTCGGTTTAGATCGGTTCGGTTCGGTTATGATATATATTTTTAAAAAAGAATATTAATACTATGCAAACTTCAAAATATCTATCCAAATAAATCCATAAAATAATTAGTCCTTCAAAAAAATTACAAAAAATCTAAAAATTTTTAATAATTAGGTTAAAAGTTAAAAATATTAAATTTTATGGTTTATTAGGTGAAACACATAAGGTACAAATAAACTACCAAAAAATAACACTAATAATAATAAGAGTAAAAATTAAAATATTAAAAAAACCCTAATAACCGTTCAATTAACCGCGGTTATTCGGTTATTAACCGAACCGAACTGAATCCGAACGGTTATTCAACTTCTTCAACTGTTCGGTTATTAAGCAAATAATCGAACCGAACCGAACCGAACCGCCTTATTCGATTCGGTTCGGTTACTCAGTTAATAACCGAAATGGCCACCCCTAATTTAACCATTATATATTTATACACCAAAATAAAAAAACAAGAAAAATATGGAAATGGAAAGCAGGAATTTATAGTAGCAATACTATTTATCGGTAGACGGAAAATAAGTAAAAAAAAGAGAGAGAGAGAGAACACATCAGTCAAATCGATGCTTTTATATCATATTGACAAATAACATATATATATATATATATATATTAAATTTATGAGAAATGGCAATTTTGGAAACCCAAATGATAATTCGGTAAAAAAAATGCCAAACGAGTTCCCCACATGTCGACAAGTATATTATGTTATGTAACATCAAATCAGTATATAGTTTTCCAAAGTCCATTTTTTTTTGGGGTCTCAGAACGTTTAAGATCATTCATTAATTTCCTTTTAGTTCATAATACTTTTGGGAATATAAAAAATGTTTGTAAAAATATGGGAGTGTATATATATATATATTAAAGGAATTTAAAAAATATATATAAAATATTAGGAAAAACAAGCATAGGGGGGGAGTGGAGGGAGGCCCACATAAACGCAGGATGACTGTGATGGCGTCACCTCTTTAGTTGCGTGACTCCTGGGCGCTCCTCTGTCTCTCTCCCTCTCTGCTTTTTTCCTCCTCTTTATTTAATTTTTTTTACATATTTACCCAATATATATATATATATAATATATAAAAAAAATTCTGATAAAATTCCGTAAGAATTAGAAAATTAAACGAACTGTGGAATTAATGAAAAGGGTGAGCTTCAAGAGAATGATTCAACGGTGGCAGCTGCGGAATCCGCTATTGGGTTAGCCATTTTCGTTAAATATATGTATTTTTTGAAAGATTTGTGGAGGATTTACATATTACTAGTAAAAATTCCAACATATTTTTCCATACCGGCACCAGTGGTCTAGTGGTAGAATAGTACCCTGCCACGGTACAGACCCGGGTTCGATTCCCGGCTGGTGCAAAAGTTTTTCTTTTTTGAAATTTACCTTTAATACATTGGGCCTTTATAATAAACGTTATTGGGCCACACCTTCCAGCTTGCACCCATTTTGAAGGTGAAACCTCCCTCTTTTTTCGCCCTCAGGCAGCTTTTAAATGCTTTTTTTTTTTTTCTATTAGTTATTTTCTTTAATTCGCAGGGTAAATTTATTATTATTATTATTATTATAGTTTGCTGATATGAAAGTGTATTTTAATCTTTTCTTGAATGCGTTTATTTATATTCATCAAATCACAAACGTTATATTTTGCATTAAAAGCTTTTGTGGTATACATGGAGAAATTTTAATTTTACGTGTAGATATAATTTTATATGGAAAAAACGACATAATTGTTAGAGGAGAAGATAGTTTAAATATTGACATTAATGATATAAAAGGTGTGCATTTGTCTAATCATATATACATTTGATCGGTAATAATAGGCTGTAGACTATAGACTCTCTCTGAATTTGTTATGATTAGGAATAAATAATGTTTAAGAACAAATCATTAAATTAATCAATAAAGTACCAACATAGAGGAAGCAAGTTTCCGACCACCTTCGATCTTTGCCTTGAGACAAAGAAGCTTGAGATCCAGACAAACTCTACATATAAACATTGCACAGATCTCATTGCCGATCCTCTTCAAAAGCTTGGGGTTTAATTAATTACTATATAATATACAATTATCCATTAAAAGTAGTATGAAATATATGTACACGCACATACACATATATAAACTATTTATTTGTTTTTCACCAACATATAAAATTTATTTGAATAAAAAAAAACATTTTATGACCCAAATTTGGGTTCGAGTAACTCGTAAGGTTCATTAAAAGTAGGTTTTTTTTAACCTAAGCACTAATGGCTTCTGCAAGTGATGTAAACAATCAAGAATTTATATTCTTAAACTATGCTTCATTCGATTTTAATCAATCTAATACTATAAAATATGCATGAAAATGCATATATGCATTATTAATTTTTTTTTGGGAACAAAGTATTCACTCGCAATCACTCCATATCATATACAAGTGCAAAATGAATAATTTACGGTTATGATCTCTCTCTAACAATATATATATATACAAGTCACCATCACGATTGCGCGTGTATTCATACATACATACATACATACATACATACATACATACATACATACATACATACATACATACATACATACATACATACATACATACATACATACATACATACATACATACATACATACATACATACATACATACATACATACATACATACATACATACATACGTGAATTTAAAATAGAAATCGTGTGACCAATTTTATAATGAGTTCACGTGTACACCCATATGATTCCTCCGGCCAGCCCGACAATCCCATGGAAGAACACAACATCTTCTGGCAAAACCCTCCTTATTTTAATACAACATTTTCCCGGAATCCAAACACTCGGAAATTTCCATCTGACACCCACTGAGAAAATTAATCCGAGAAATTACTCTATAAATCCGACTCCTTTTTTCCCCATAAACCGAACATAATAATAACCCAAGAAGCAGCACAAACGAAGAAGAAAACAAAAACAAAAGCTGTTGCATAATCCAGAAAACAAGAACCAAATGGCTCATCAGCAACTTCTTGCTCTATGCTTCTTGCTAACGTGCGCCGCCGTGGCCGCATCATCATTGGCCGAGTCCATGCCGCCGCTGGCTGTGGCGAGGAAGATCGGAGGTCACTTGCCGAGCCAAGAAGGGAAGGCGCCAGCGCCGGCGGAAGAGGCGGAGGTGCGGAGGAGCCACCACCACTCCACGGTGGACCGGTCGGTCGCCGGCGGCGGAGTGATCCTGGGCGGCTTGGCTACGACGTTTCTGGTGGCCGTGTTCTGTTACATTAGAGCTACGAGGAAACACAGTGCCCGTAACGATGATACAGTTAACGTCACTCCTGCCTCCTCGTCGACCGTTTAATTTTTTTTTTCTTCATAGTTAAAAGTTTTTGTAAAGTGGTCAAATTTATGTTATTGTAAATTTTTGTTTACCGTTATCATAGAGATTATCGGTATATCTAATAGCATTTTCGATTACCAAAGAGATTATGGATTTTCGTTTAGGAAAAAAAAAAAAAAGAGATTATGGATTTTTCCGTCTTAGCGTTAACATATATTAAAGTTTTGGGGGTGGTCAATGATGGCTAGAAATCAAATGAGCTCACATTTTTTCTTAGGCCCATTAGAAACGGGCTTTATCGGGCCCAAGCATAGCATCCAAAAGAGAAGGGGAGATATTATCTTTGATGAATATTCAATATATAATGACGTTACTTTTCATGATCATATATAAATAAATAAAATAGCGAAGTTAGTCTTGTAATTGCGAGAAAATGGGAAAATTGTAAACTTTTATAAAAAAAATTAAATAAATATTTCAACTATAAAATTTCTAAATAAATACTTAAATTTTTTAAAACTTCTATATAAATACCAAAATTTTAAAAATCTATCAAATAAAACTAAAATTTATTAATGACTTTGAATTTATAACGAAAACTTTCGATAATTGATGATTTAGTATCAACGGATATTGTTTTATTTGATAATTTTTTAGAAATTTTGGTATTTATATAGAAATTTTAAATATTTCATATATTTATTTAAGAATTTTATAGTTTATATATTTATTTAAAAATTTTATAAAATTTTATTTATTTATATACTATTTTCCGGGAAAAAAAAATTGAATCTCGAAGCGGAAAAAGATACATTGTATTTGTATCGTAATGGATTCAGTTGAACTCTGAGTGGGACCCTTCGGACCGAAGCACGTGCTTCTTCTTCTGGTCGGTCACACTTCCCTTGTCCCATGCATTGCACCTATTAATGATCAGTCCGTTTTCTCAATTGATACATATCACGTTAATAATAGATTGAATAATTGTTTTTATTATTTATTGCTAATTACATAATTTTATATAAAGGTTATATTTTTTAAAATAAAATTACGAAATTTATGCAAAATGGAAATATATATATATATATATTTTAAATTCAATCTATCTGTAATTTCTAAACAGAACCGCATTATCTATTCACCACATATGATAAAATAACCGCATGATTTTGATCTGAATATCTCATACATTAACAAGATTCACTCTTTTCGTACGAAAAGAATTTGATAAAGATCGTTTTGAATTCAATATATTCCACATCTTTTATTTTATCCCAACGAACTTTGACCTTCCCTTTGGTTCGTTAATTATCCACTCGGTGTACTCGTGTCGTCCCACGTTTCCTCCCGTTATTCCACGTGGCACTCTGTTTAAGCTGACATCTCGACAGAAGCCTAGTGAACCACTCATTTTAAAAATAATACATGGTGAATATTGGAAAATACAATAATACGATTCGATATTCTTTTTATTTTATTTCATAGAAAAATTTATCATAAACATGGTTTTACCATGCGAAAATAATTGGAGGATTCTCTTCCTAGTTGGTCATAGAAAACCAAGTGAAAGAAAAAGGAGATGATTCTCTTCAAATATATTTCATACTATTTTTTTGTTATATATTATGGTAAAGTGAAATATACTATTTTTTTTTTATAAGAAACATAATTTTGGAGAATTACAATATCTCACCAAAGCTCGAGGGACGGCATATATATATATATATATATATATATGTACATGTTGAAGAGGAATCAGAAAGGCTTGAAAGAAACCCGATATGTATGTTTTGATACTTTTTTTTCTCTTCTTTTTTGCTTTAATTAACCACCCGAAAATAATATTAATTAAAAACAATATTATATAAAATTAAATGCTTGGAGGTTGACGGTTTTGTGCCGAAAAACTGACACAAAATAAAAAAAAAGGTAACAAAGTAATATTTTAACCTTCGATTATATAGCATTAATTAATTGTATATTGGTAAATCACCCAACGATCTTTCCTCTATAAATCGTCGAGTCGGACCGACCGCCTTTTCCCCTTCCGATTTCCATCTCTATTCGTGTCTTCGATTACATACACAGATATAACATATACACACACGCATACGCCCTCATAGGTGTGTGTATAGATTGCTCGTTCTCTGGGTTTAGCTGAAAAGAGAGGTTTTACAGAGAGAGAGAGAGAGAGAGTGCGATCATGGAGGGAAAGAAGAATTCGTCTTCGTTAACGACTGAGCTGTTTGGTTCCCGAGAAAATTCTTCTTCTTCTTCTTCTTCTTCTTCTTCGTCTTCGGGGATTTTTGGGTCGATTTTCGCTCCTCCATCGAAGGTAATCGCTACACCATGAGGAATCGATTTTCTTTTATTTTTTCCTCTTAGACTTGACAAATTTGCAGAATGCGTTGATGATTACGAACACACCAATTACTTTTGCTTGATTGTGTTTAAACCTTGATTTCAATTTAGTGCCCTCCGTTCCGTTTTGATTGTTTCGATTCTGGAATTGTTCTAGAAATTCGAAATTTCGTCCCTTTTGGTTTGTTTATACTTTAAATAGAGCTGATGGATACAGAATTAGGGTTTACAAATCGGAAGTAATTAGAAATCTGAATTCGATCGTCTGGTGCTGCGAAATCGAATTTCCCGAGCAAGGGTTTCTGAATTTTTGGAATACTTTATGCAAATTCTGGATTTTATTTGAAAAAGAGCGAATCTTTGACCTCCTCACCCTGAGCTGTTGAAGAACCCTTTGATACGTGGCTTGGAGCACAAGTCTGTGATAGGGCAATACCGATTGTTTCTACTTCAGTTTATTTCTTCAAACAAATTCCGACATTATGTTTCACCATTCTTTGCACGCAATCCAACTTATTTGCGGCAAAGCTCCAATTTTTATATCTATGGTCTGTTCTTGTTTTGTTATGTTAATTTGGATGGCAAATGTTTTGATTCTGTGTGGTTCTCAGGCTTTGGGAGGGGGATCTCTCCGACCAGAACCGGCGACCGGTGGTTGGAACAATAAAACTGCTGATTCCGGTAAGATAATCTTGTCTAATTCATCAAGTTTTGGACTCAGAGAAGTGTGTTCTTCGTTTCTCGTTATCGAAGTTTGCAACTTTTTATTCATGGATACGATCATTTTCTGCGTGTTTCAGGCGATAGCGGTAGGAGTAAGGAACAGAAGAATCAGGACAGGGGTTCGATCTATCAAGAGCAGAGCGTGCAACCGTGCCACCTGAGCTCATCGATCTATTACGGAGGTCAGGATGATTATGCTCTGCCTCAGAGTGTCACTGGTTCGAGCATGAACTCTGTGGTAAATACACATCGAGTTACTATTCTAATCGCCTAACTAGAGCTCTCTTTGAAATCTTTCCATGCTTGCCGATGATCATTTTGTATGAATCTGGTCACGATATCGATTTTGTTTTTCGGGGATGTGTTTGCTGCAGTACAAGAAAGGCGGGGGAGAAGATGATTCTGGAAGTGCCTCAAGAGGAAACTGGTGGCAAGGTATCATAGAACCCCTCCCCCCCCCCACCATTTTCCATTTCTGGAAGATTTCTTTTTTTGCGGTTCATTCTTCTTCTGTTTCTAACGTGTTGGCCATCTCGAAAATTCCTTTGTTGGCAGGATCTCTCTATTACTAAAGATCTTGCTGGCAAATGTTATACTCTACAAGAACAAGGCAATGATCCCGTCACCCCATTCATCGATATCTTAAGCAGACTTGGATTCCTTCTTTGGGAACGTGGAAACGGTATCTTGATCTTTGATCGGTTTGGTGTTGGCTGGCTTGCAGGTACATAGGAACATAGGTAGCAGAAAGATCAGTCTTTTTTTCTTTTTAACTTGCTTATATCCAGATCTGCAACAAATCAGATGGTGGCTGGAAAAAAGGGGAAAACATCGCCGGAGATTCGGCTTTGTCATTGTTGTGTGGCTCAGCCAGCCGGTCCGACTAAATTTCCTCCCATATGAACGAACCGAACCGATGATGTTTTCTTACAAACTCTTATAGATTCCCTGTTGTCTCTTTTCAGTTTCTATGTATAAATAAGAACATTTCGGATTCTGGTACTTTAATTTTCATGTTCCTGAAATTCTGGTTATCTCCGGTTAACATGGATGGTTGGTTAATGTCGTTGGTATCGATAAAACCCATATATGAACGTAATTGTTTTTAACCAACTTTTGAGGAGACCAAAGGTGAGATTCTGGGTTTGTCCCAAGTGGGCTGTCCTGAAGATTCCATTGGGTTCTGATTCTGAGCAACGTCGAATTTCGACTCTTTGAATTTCAATCTTTTTAGGGTCTGTAGGATTCCTTTGATGATTCCCACTTTATAAATCCAAATTCCAATACCCTTTTCGCTGCTCTATGAAAAAGTTTCATGCTTTGTTACTGTAAATATAAGATCACATTAACATTAAGAAAAAGATTGTACATATCACGCCTTTTCTTTTTCTCTCAAGGAAAAAAGGGATACAAAGAAAGACATACTACCGAACACAGTCTCATCTAACTATAACAGATTTCCAATTATTACAAAACCTAAACTGCTGAACTGAGCTCAGATCCCTGGATCGAGACTCGACACTTTCACTGATTTCTTCATGCATTTTTCGAGTGAGTATCTATCGTTTCGACCCGACGATGAACAGCTCGATATCAAGCCCGTGCCCTTCGATTTTGGATCGGCCGTGAGATAATCTGTCAAGACCTTATTAACGGTGATACTGTGTGGCTTCATGGACCTATCCACCTTTGCTGGAGAATAGCTCGGCGTTGCGTAGGCCGAGATGGGCAATGCAACGGTGTCACCCATTGTCGGGAGCTGATCCGAATGACTGGTCAGGTCATCCACGAAGAGAAGGTCATCGATACGGGCCACTAAGTTGAATGCCAAGCTCTCTAGAACTCTTGAATAACTCTCCAGAATCGATTTCCCGATATCCTGAATGAAGGAAAGAAACAAAAAGAACCCGGAAATTCATATAATCTCGAAGGAAAACAGGTATGATGGGTAATGGTGCTTTTGCGAGAGGGTGAGACCTTGTTGTACTGGATTTTGCTCATGTCTAATGCTGTCTGGGGGAGACCAGGGAACCGTTGTTTCAGAGAAAGCAAGAGGCTTTCGGCTCGGTCTGCCAGTAATTCTCGCTTTTCTGCATCAACCATCAGGTCTTTCACCATTTCCCATGAAGACCTCGAGCTTGACCAGGAATTTGTGTTTGCTAGTCTGGAATTCGTTCTTTTGCCGCGCCATACGTAGATTGATTCCTCGACCCTGTTGGCTATCTCTATCGCTTGGTGTTCAGAAGATAAGTCGAGGCAATCAAGAAGGCATTCGGGAGAGAACTGCTCCGATGAAATGTATCTGTATATCAGATCACCCAGGCAGGCTCTTCCGTTCTGAGGAGAACAAAATCACAACTTTGTTAACTTGAATTCCTTTCCATTTATCATTAATCGCGATATAGAAATTTAGAAAAGATATGTTCGGGATTACATATATAATTTACCCGTGGGAGAGAGTCGAGGTATGAGTCAGGAATCTCCATATCGGTGAGAGTGATACTGTTGATGGCCATTGCGGCTTTCAATATCTGGTTGGTGCAATCCCGTTTATGCTGCAACTGCTTTCTCGAGTTTTCTTGCAGGCCGCCTGGAGGAACCCTTGGAACCGGTAGCCACCATTTCTCCTCCTGCCTCTGAAGGGCTCGTTTGAAAGACCTGTCTGTTGACTCGGGTTCCGAAATTCCTTGGTCAACATACCAGAACTCTGTGTTCTCAAAACCATCTAATATCTCCTGGAAGATAAGATAAGACGAAAAGTTAAGAACTTTCGCTCTCCGTAAATTTTCTGGGTCTGGTAGAAAATAGGAAACTGGGAAAATTAAGAAAGGTCACGTATTCTTACGAGAAGCATATTATCTAGCTTGCGAAGGGCGGGAAGGTTGACATAAAGATCAGATCTTGGTCTGCACGTCATTATCTACAAAGATGATCTCTGAAGTTAAACCAGAAGAATATCGAGATTCTCGAGCGGTGATCTAAAGATCTGAGCTTTTCTATTCTCAATCAAGAAGTGGAAACCAATTCAGTTGTTTCCAAGAACCTAAACCTATCGAATTCTGCATTGGCTATCAGCCTATCAGAATAGGAACCGAATCACAGGAAATCTTTTAAGAGATTGTAGCTCATTTACCTCAAGTTTACTTCCATCGGGAAATGTCTGCCACGTTGGTATCATCTCTACAATGTGATCGCTTACACACAGAAGCCATTCCATCTCTCTTCTCCACATGACTTTCTTTTCCAGAGGTAGAGGTTCTAACCTCCACAGTTGCCCGAACAATGTAGCTTTTCGATGATTCAATCGAACAAAAAATGAAGAAACCAAATCAGAACAAACTGTTCATGCTAACGTTAGTAGAAGTAATCATGGGCTTGATTCACATACCACAAAGATTTGTGATGGCATTGGAGATGGCTAAAGCTGAACAGACTCCATTTCCACAACCGGACATATCCTCCCCAAGAAGCAACTTTGAAAATCTTTCCTTCATCATCTCAATCTCTATGCAACCACCGGAAAAAGAAAAGAAAGAACAAGCCCTTCAAATTAACAGCGCAAAGGCATCTATTTCAGGAAAGGAAATGGCCAAAGCTATGAACTTTTACAAGCAATGAGTTCGAACTTGTTTCATTGAGGAATAAAAACGAACACTTTATGGGGACGTTTCAGACAAAAGGGCCCAACCTGAAACTGACTGTTGTTTCTCCAATTTCCCGCTATCCGAATGAATCTTCTTCTCTCCGTCTCCATTTTTCACAGACCAAACGGAGGAAACCGGAGAAGACGTTGAATCCTCCGTGCTGCTAGGGCTTTGTTCCTCCTGTCTGGTAGTTTCCGACACCAGAAAATCTGAGCTGCAACTGCTTTCTCGGCCTTTCTCTTCGACTTGTCCCATGTTTTTCTCCTCGGCTTCTTCCCCTTTCCCCTCAAATTCAGCCACTTTCTCCGGCGAATCACCGAAGGCTGAATTGGTGTTCATCACTACAGAGCAGGATTCGTCAACATCACCGCTCATGCGAGACCAGTTGCTAAACTTGGTTCGGTCGTAAAGATTCCTCACCCGGAAACCCAATGCGGTAATAGGGTTCGGGTAATCGGATCCTCCTTGCTTCTCCTTCTTCGCAAATGAAAACGAAAGTCCTCTCCGATGCTGTTTCAACTGGGTACAGACATTGCTTCCTCTGAAACTGAAAGCTCTGTCTTGTTGCCCCATGATAACGACGACGATGATGTCGATGGCGCAACCATTTCTGTGGGTTCTTTCTGTTTGGCAGCTCGGAAAATAAGTAAGGAAATGGAGAGAGAAAATTTCTGGTTGGGGGGGTGAATGATTACTGAGCCCCGCTCTATAACGTGAAATGGAACGTTGAAGGAGCCTCTCTCTGGGATTATTGCGCTTGATCATGCAGCGTTTATGATCCTTCGAAATTTTTTACCCTTTTTTAATTTTCTCGGAGGAAAAAGGATTTTCTCAGCGAAGAAAATTGCAGTCTCGTTGTGTACGTGACTCTCTCTCCCCCGCTTCCGCTTAGATTTAAACAAGAGCTAATTATTATTATTATTATTTAATGAATTAATTAATGTAAGTTCTTTATTTAAATAAAATACAGTTACCATAAAGCCAATGTTGCTTTGGGAAATCGTGCAAATTTTCTTCATCATTATCGTTCGAAGTTGTGTCTTGATAGTCTTCTTAGTTACAAAAGTAGAAAATGAATTATCATCATAAAACCAAACGTTAATAAGGTAGAAAAAATGAGTAATTTACGCGTAATATTCGATTTACAGTTAGCTTCTTAAATAGAAATAAATAAATTGTGTTCATTTTGGGTAATATAATGTCGTGTATGTAATAGTAGAAAATGTTCGGATTAAAATCACACACAATGAAAATGCCCTAAGCCTCCTCAAGGTTATATATATATAAGCATTAAAATATCCAAACAAATAAATAAAAAAAATGCGATTCTTCACCTTATTTTTTGTTTTTTTCACATTTTATTTTTTGGAAGAAAAAAAATGACAGGAAAAATTTGGGCTTGACAAAAAGGATAGATGGGCTCTTAGTGACCACAGACAGTTTTTGGTGGAATCCAAAGGATAAGTGGAAAGTGATGTATTTGTCTTTGGTACAGCCTAACCGGAAATCCAACGGTCACACTTCGGTTTAATATCATTTTCTCAAATTAAACCAA